TCTCTATGGAACATGATCTGTACACTCCCACAAGCCCTTTTACAAAACCTGCCATGTTGGTCAAACAAAGGGTGCGAAAACATCAATCACATGACTATTAGCATGTTTCATTTGATATCTTTGTCTGAGAGAGAATGCTGTGTAAAACGGTCTCAAACAAGGATTACACGTGGAGAAAGGGGCAAACAATGACTCTTGGCGGCACCTATATTGTATAACAATAACTAGTCCTTTCTATTGTCTTGGACTGTCAGGGCTTCAAGAGGGTTCTCTTTCGATTAAGTGCACCTGCAAAGAAAAGGACACATCTTCACCTTCAATGACCCTAGGTTTGTCAAGCAGGGCAATCCAAACATTGGGAAACAATCACCTGAATCTGCAGTGACTCACGTCTAGACCTGCTCTGGTGATATACACTTGCCTCAAATTCAAATTTCAGGGATGTGGGTGTGGTTCCAAAGCTTCAGATCCTTGCACTTGTCATCTGTAGACAATGAGATTCAGTGTTTGCTCACCCTGACTATCCAACGTGCTGCAACATACACTGTGGAGAACGTTCAAACGGTCCATCACTTAGCTGATACCTTGCGACCGGTGGAATTCTATCGGAGTCCCAGGAAGGAGAACATCCAATCGATGGATTGGTGGTCTTTCATCTTAAGTGGAGTTTTGAGCCACCTCATAGAGAGATAAGTCGAGCTTTGGCTACCTCATAGAAAAACAAAGCGCCGGTCTTAAATGAATGGGCGATCCATGCATGATACTTCTCTTGTTACCAAAGATATTTGGAGAGGATTTGCCTAAATCCTATATATATATACTCCTGACCACAGCACCCATCATCTCAAAACCCTTCGTCATCCGCCTGGACGTCGTCATCGGCCTGGGAAGGTGATGGAGACCAACAAAACCTTAAAATAAAAGACCTAAACACATCTAAAACCAATAAAACCTAAGACTCTTAACATCAACTTAGATGTAGCCCGGTTAGTACCTCTTGAGAAGCTATGTAGATTCCTACAAAATACTTGATTCCACCAGTGTTTTTCCGAAGATTTTGTCCATCCCATCCACAGCTCCCCGGCCCAAAATTGGCCCTTGGAATGGGAAAAAAACATGAGGCAATCTGGGGGAGTGCTTCGCGTAGTGGAGTGCCTTGGTTGCGTCTCCTCTGTTGATGGAAGACATCAATCATCAATTCAACGTTCAGCATCTCTTCTGATTTCTTCAATCATCCCTTAAGAAACACATGGTGTTGAGATGATTGATGAGGGAGTGGAAACAATGAAAAATCATATGATATCATATCATTCATTCACCCACTGGACCGTTCCACACGGCACCTGGACTGGCGGCATCACCGTGGCCGCTGTGGCCGTGGCCGCTGTGGCCGTGGGAGCCGTGTCCGTTGGAAGGGCCTGGAGCTGGTCTGGTGTCTCACTCAAATCACAGGCAAAATGGATTAGTTTTCCTGATGTTTGTCCAGTTTCATTTTTGTGACAAACATGCTTTCTTTGCTGGCGGTCCAGCTTCACCGTGTGGCAAACGGCTCAGATTTCAAACTTCCAAGTGTTGGGAGACAAGCATGTTTTCCAAAACAATTCGTGCAGTATGATACAGTCCACCCAAAGCAACACCCACTGAAGGAGTCCTTTTTCCGTCCCCTTTTGCCCTTCCATGCAGTCCCAACAATAAGCCAAGACCTTACACTCTCTATCCATTCCAATGTGTTATTCCCCAGACAAGAACCTGCCCAAAGGTTCAAAGCCACAGGTTCTGATCGGAAAAAAAGCTTGCGGGGAATGGCTCGGACTCTGAGGTTGCAAAGTGTACGGCATCATAGTTTTGCTCAATCTCGACCGTACTGCTTAAGGCCACACAAGCTTCCTCCTCTGGGACTCATTCGCTTGTAACCGTCTCCAAGTAAAGCCACAAAAAAACTATTTGACCAAGTACTACAAAACAACAACAACAACAACAACAACAACAACAACACGATTATATGGCCTATATATTTCGAAGATTTTCGAAGGGGATCCGGCGCTTGCTGTTGAGGTCCAGGAGTGCCCACTGCGATCTGGCTGTTGAAGTCCGGGAGTGCCCACTGGGATCTGGAGCTTGCTGTTGAGGTCTGGTGCTTGCTATAGAGGTTCGGGAGTGCCCACTGCGATCTGGAGCTGGCAGTTGTTGAGGCGAGGAGGGAGAGGAGGAGAAGGATTCGCGGGATCCTCTTCTAAAATCTAACCACCCCTTGCCTGACAGGTAGGGAAACGTGTTTTTTCTCCTTTTAAGCAACATATATGTGATTGTTGGCCGATTCGTTCGATTCTGCTCAACAAGCGGACATGAATCGACCCAAAGGCCCGGAAAGTCATGTTCGTTTGGGTGATAAAAGACCAGTAACAGTTCAACAGGGAGCCAACACTTTATGTCATTATGTCCCTCATGTGGATGCAATGCGTAGCTTCTGTGAAAGTTCTCATGCTTGGACGTGCAATGTGTAGCGTAGATTTACTGATGGAAGACACGACACCGAATGCCTGAAGTACGATCGTTTTCCCCACATGTCCCTATCTCAGGTGGTGCGGGCTGTCTTCTTTCAGTAGGCAGAAGGATGCCCTATGGCTGATCCCAACCAATGGAGACCTTACCATCAGCCTGTTGGAAGAAGTCCTTTCCCCACACTCCAGAGATCGTCTTTGACAGATTGTTGCTGTTCATCACCTCTTGACCCGCTCTGAACAAGTTACAAAAGCTTAATTCAAAGCCCGACCTCCAAAAAAAACTGAAAACAAAACATATCCATGTGGTCCATGTGTCTCAATGAACCAAGTCCCCCTTTCTCCCAGCACTTTGGCCCTTGGATGTCCTTGGGCTTTGATAAGAAAGTCACCCGGAACCGGTGCGACAATGGTCTGCCTGGACCTCTTCATTCTCCTGGCAGAAATGAGCGTGAAATGCCTAGTCCCACACCCTCAAACAGTCGAGCACCTCTTACCATCACCCACAGCACATTACACCTAGTAGTAATTATGTAGGGTCTTGATGAAAGCGAACTCAACTCTTTAAGATTCAACGACACGGTGGGGCAAATGACACGGAACCCTTTCGTCGGAATCCACCATTTCCAGGTCAACAGGAAAAAAACACATGGATCCGTTCGGTGCCTTCCGAGACGCGTGTTGACTGGGAGTCTACACAAGGTCGCTGATGTGGATTGCAAAGGTGGGTCACTGATTCCATGTTTTGCAGGAAAAAATAAAACACGAGCTTTTCCAAAGGAGGAGACCAGCGCCCAGCCGGGTGCGAGACATCATCTGCACAGAACGAGTCTTTCCGCACGAAGATTCAGGGATGCAAGGCCAACAAAACACACCAGGACACTCATTCGTGCTTGAAACCTGAAGGACTTCGCAATCTCTTGCACTTCACGGGGGGTTGAGTCCGACTCCATAAAACCTCCTCGATCTCAACACAGAAATGACACCGACCGCTCCACTGCCGGAGCGAGCGCACAGCTCGCTCGGTACCCCCGAAGGACCGGGTCCTTCGCTTGGGCTTCTAAGGCCGCCGCAGCACTGGCGGCCGCCTGGACACAGCGACGAAGACGTTTTCAGCGGTGCACCGCGGTGGGCACCGCGGTTGGCAGTCTCTTGGACCCAAAGGTCCAAAACATGTCAACATCCTTCAGATAAGAGAAGGGTCCAATGATGATTAGGGTTGGCCAAGTGTTGAGCGGAAGATGTGTCAGCAGCCGGGATCATCATTTAGCTGTCGAAGAAAGCCGACAAGGTTCAAACTCTCCAGCTTGTCTGGCGGGCAGAGATTCTGAGGTGATTTTGTGACACCCCTCATTGATCAAGAAAATATTGGTTCGGCAACGAAGGAGCAGGCAAAGATCCCGGTGGATGGTGCGAAAGAGCTGAGCTTGTGTCTGACTTCAGAAACACCAGTCCCGAGTCGCACTGAGTTGGAAAGGTACCAAGGTCGTAATCGTAAATCCAATATGTCTGTTGCCAAGGTTTTTACCTACAAATCTATCACCATCATCCCACGGATCTATGACCCTGCCATCAGATCTCTCCTTCGACCATCAGAACTTCCTGCGGACAGCTTTGCTGCAAGGAAGAGCTTCTCAAATAGCCCGAAGTTTGCGAAGTAAAAGCGCTTCTTCCCAGGGCTTCATAAGAAATAAACACAAGTCACAATGTGGGTTTCTCCTTTCTTGAGGAGACTGTATTGTACCAGTATCAGCTGCAGTGTCCAAACTCTGTGCCAAGAGCGTCTCAGTTTGAATTCTGCTACAGTAGCTTCGGAAGGACAAAACACATCTCGCAGGGACAAAAGGCCCCTGGGGCGTCTCCTCGTTTTGAAATAAACCCACATCATGGCAAAACCTTGGATGGGGATGGTCGGCCTTCGGAAGATGACAAAGTCTTCTTGGTTCCGCGCTGCACTACACTCGGCTGCTCGGCTCTTGCTTCATGGTGGCCCTCTTGATGGGATCCAACGTTGCATTCCTTTGGTTTTTTGAATAATGAATAAATTTGTTGCATTTTGTTGATATTGTCTGAGGTGCCTGCTCACTTTGAAGGTGTAGAAAAAACGTATGGCAGGTCCAACGATCCATACTTCAATTGTTGGAATATCTGCCCAGAACCATCTGACCCTGGAGGAAAAGACCACACTGGGCAACGAGGGTCCAACAGGTTCTGGGTCCGCCAAGTGAACTGCCACAACCTTCACGGACCTGCAGCGACCCGGTCACTGCATGAAAATCCTGCAGGGCATCTTAGGCTTGCACGCGCAAGCACCCCCAGGATCTGGTCCGATGACTTTTCCTTCACAGGCCTCTGTCCAACACCTTCCTGGATTTGCTGGTTCAAAACCAAAAAGGCTGGGCGCCACTTTCATGGCGAACCAGTTTCACTGGATCCAGCGCCGTTTAACCATCTGTGGACTCCACCCTCGCGGCCATCGCGATGGTTTCCGTCTCCGTCTCAGGGCGCTTCACCCTCCGACTCGGACGACGAGTCTCGTCCCACAATGACGCGGAAGGCTCGGGGATATCTCCTGGCAGATCAGATGAGGCGATGCGCTCGGAAGAGCTGGATTCTCATTCCCGCGGAAAGACCGATAGAACGGAATGCAAGATATTGCAAGTATAATTACATCATCTGTAAAGGAACACAACCGAATTATTTATGGGTTCTGAAGTTCAGAGGATACTCACCCAGTGCCCAGGGTGAGCTATCCCTGCAGTATGCCCGGCGGGTTGGGCCCAGTGAGGTTGCTCCGCGGCCGCTCCTGGCCGATCGTGATAATCTCTTCACCCGGCGCAGGTTCCGCTCGTGCTCTTCCCGCCCAGGTGGCAAGGCTTGGAGAGGAGTCTTGTCCTCATCTGGCCACTCAAACGACCTGTCAGCGAGTGGCCAATAAAAACGAAAAAACATCGAGAAAAACACCACCGCCGCTCTCTTCCAACTTGAGGATAGGTCAAAACCTCCACCATGTGCGAACGACTTTCCACATAGCTCAGGTGGTGCCACTCAGGGCTCAGGGTCTGCTAGCTTTGAACCACAACTACATTCATGAGGTCCTGTTTTGGGACAGAATGCTTTGGGATTCTATGGCCCAGTTCTTCCCTCGCACCTCCCAACCCTCCTGAACACGCGGAAGGATGACGCGTCTGTTTGCGACACTCTAAGGAAAATGGTTCTGTTCGTCTTGGTTGGCCTCCAAACTGTTCTTGTTGATGTTGGAGAATCCAAGTATACAAGAGTTGTTTGATTGGAAATAAGTGGGCTTAACATGCTCTAGGCTATATAGGTATCACGTCCCTTAAACATAACATGATCTTGTTCAACAACCACCTGGTCACCTGATGCTATAAGGATCGTCCCAACTTCCATGGCGAAATTCATCGAGGGCCACAAGCCGCTCCGAAGCAGTCGTACCACAGAGGCACCCTCTTTATGAAGTTGCAATGGGGGAAAACATGGGACCAAGGAGACAGAACGAGACAGAGACCCCAGAGGTTCCCTCAGGTTCCCTCATGTTCCACTCCCAAAACACTGACCACAAAGAAACTCTGCACAAGGCATCGCAATGTAAGCATCTCTCTTTTCTGAGCATCCCAAAAGTATGCAAGACGCCAAGAGGAACACACACGCACACACACACACATCTCGTGATGAGCTTTCCCAGGCGATGAGCTGAAACCATCCCAGTGACTTGTAAGACTTCAGCTGCGAATCATCAAAGTCAATCTGCTCCTCTTGGGAGATCTCAAAGAGGATGGGTCTTGCCTTGCTTGCCTGTCTTGTGCGTCACTCACGTCGAAAAGAGGGGCTCCCTAGTAATGGTGTTAAGGTGAATCACATACAGGTCTTCCGAACAAGTGAACCCCGGCCACATGATCCACAACTACCAGTTTCCTGCAAAATGAAGGGTCAAAACAATGTTCTGCTTGTCAACCACTCGCAAAAACCAGTTATGGCAAACTACTGTACATTCCCTGCATGAGACTGAAGGGTCCCTGCACGGTCCTCCGGTCCTTTGGACCACGTTTCACGTCCAACGCGGGAACCGCAACGGATCCGAGGCGGTGAAGTCCACGCGATGACGCACGTGCCTCGGGCACAGGAGCCTGCTTAGGCTGAATAAGGCAGGCCTCTTGTGTCAAATCCTTGGGGGATGAAACATCAGAGCGAGCAAATCCATCCACTGTGGAATGTTGGCCCAGCATAGAGGCACCCCCCCCAGTTTTTCAGAAAAATGACCGATCGTTCCTGGGTTGAAGGAAGTGATGTGATGTACAAATCGAGGATGGAAGGATCTTTGGCATAGGCATCAGCTTCTGTCTTTCAGTCTTGCTGAGCAGCCCTTGAGTTTCGTTGCTACGAGAGTATAGTATGAACGAACAGTTCCTAGAATTGTAGAATGTATGCAGGGGTGAAAGCTCGCGTGCAAACATGATCTAAGTGTGAAATCTAGACTCTTGATTAATCAAACACCCCGACAAACTCAGTACATGATTGATCATGAGAGCATAAGTCCCGACTGGGCCTGGAATTCGTGGTGGCAATTTCTGTTTCGTAGATGGCAGCAGCTCCGCACCATGCACAATGAGCCGTTGCGTATCACATGGATCCCTTCACACGTGTTGGAAGGCATTCCAATTGCAGAAATCACAGAGCAGCAAGCGCAGGCTTGCCGTTCGACATGTCAAGACATTTTGGGCAACAGGACCGCTGATTTCGCTGCTAAACAAGCCGCCCTTGCAAATTCACCCATTTTTGCGCATCACCCCCAAGTCTTCGAGCAACACTTGAACGGCAAGAATGGTTGGTACACGCTCGGTGTTACACGCTCGGTGTTTCCGTCCGACCTTTTCAAGAAGCTGAAGAAAGCCGTGATGTGAAGCATCGTGCTGCCAGAGAGTTGTTTCCCGCACTCGGGATCCTGTGGCAGCAGAGTACACATGGACATTTCAACAAGTTTGGCCATCCCAACCCCCCTTGCGTTGGGACTTCCCCACCGAAGATTGGGAAGCACTTGGAGTGTTTGTGCACAAAGTCAAGTGGAAAGTTTCGCCAGAGCGTCAGATTTCGTATGCCGAACTCGCAGTCCTTTTTGTCTTGAAAGGAGGACGATGTCAGCTTATGCAGGACGAACATGTCACTTTTCGAGCCATCATTCGTTGGTTACAAGGGCGCCTGTCTTTTTGCCGACGTAAGCTCTCGTTTGCTCTCCACCCTGGCCTGCATGTCCCGCGGGGACCACAATGCATGGGGTAAGACGATGCCATCGGGTGTCATAAGAGGAGCTGCGCCACTTTTTAGCAATTCAGAGCTTGAAACTCTTGTCTCGATCACCCAAAGGGTATCCGGACAATGCTTATCGACATGGGATTTTCCTGTCGCTCCCTTCCTTTCATGAGTGATGTTCTTTTTAGGGTATCACCTGCTTCGCAGGTGCGTTGTGGTTTCTTGTTTGCCAGTCAGTGGCAGCTGACGGCAATGCTCGTCCCAGAGTGACCGCGAGCGCGAGAGGTAGAAGAGACTTTACAATCCAAATGGAGGTGTTATGAGGTGTTTGTTATTCAGTATTCAACATTGTATTCCTTTCTCTGGAAGCCATTTGCTGCGTGTGGTGATCAAGCTATTGCCGCGAGCAAAACATATCCAACAGTTCCATAGGCAACACAGCCTAATCCGATTGTAACATATTGTAGCTGGGCAGTTGAACATTCAAAACAAAGATCACTCCGAAGACCTGGACTGAAATGAAGACCTGAAGTACTCGGATCTTCCCACGACGCCGAATGGATCCGGGAGATACGATGAGTCCAACGGTCCCCGACCCGAAATCGGATCGATGGAGACGGGTCAGTCGTAGGCCGTCCCCTGCGGAGGTGCTGTCCAAAGGACTGGTCTATGTTTAAACACAAAACAAAGACGGACGGTGATTCAAAGACAAGGTTTACCCGACAACATGCAACTTCATGGTTTCGTTCTTTTTTCATCAACCATCAACCCATGTGGCTGTTTGCGTGTTCGTCAACCCTGAACCTCATTGAACCTCCATGATCTCAGCGTAGAACTCAACTTCTTATGAACAAAAAAACACTTTTCTTCGGCATGTTCACGGTCTTTGCTTTGACACCACTCCAAGTCTCCGTCTTCTTCTCTCGCGGTCGCGGTCGGTGTCTTCCAGTCTGTTCCGTGGGAAAGTGGGTCACTGCGCTGGCCGCCGAACCCATGGCAGCTGAGGGTGTTGGCTCCAAAACAACTCACCTCTCTGGTGCTTGGAGCAAACTGCGAGGTTGCCACACGGCGGTGGAGAAACGGGTGTCACACATGCACGATGAGAAAGCGGCATGTCGGACATGATGAGAAATACAAAACCACTGGATGCCCAATCTCTACCATGTTTACATTGCGTACTCTTGGGTTACCCTCTGACTCAGTGGAGGGCACCACCTGTTTGGTATTCGGAGAATAGTCATTCAACGGGCCATGCCATCCACTTCGATGTGATGTTCTCGTCGGAGTGTAAATGTCATGGACCTACACCTCCCGGGCACCCAAACTTGGGCGAAAACACCAACACGTACCACTACTATATAGTAACAAGGTGCATCGGTACTACGTAGTAGCAAGGACGCTACTAGTAACACATCCTGCTCAAACGCTAGCGACGTAGCTCTTCCGCTCTTCCCATGGTCCGTCCGAACCGCCGCAATCGACGCGGTTCGGAGTTCGATGTCTCTACCAGAACCCGACTCGTTCGGGGTGTCTGTGACTATAGCCCCCCCAAAAAGCTGTGAGGCAAGGGGTGTCCATCTCTACCACCCCTTGAAGGCCCCTGGTATATCTCTGCTGTACTTTTTTTTGGATGTCATTCATTTATGAAAAAAATCATCATCTTGTCCCTTACCACCTGGGCGCCGCCTGATGCCTGGCTTCGTCCGTTCTCGCCTCGGCCATGGCACTCGTGGCCTGGCGCGGTTCCGGGCCGCATGCGAACGGCGCACATGCACAGCTCGTGATCGAGAAACCAGGTGGTTTGAAACCACAGAACGCCGAGTGATACGAAACCATAAATCCAAAATCTTTGCCGGCCAGCCAAGAGTAATCGAACAAAAGGACGCAACAAGGTCGACCGTTCAAACGTTTTTTTTGGAGTCGACTTTTACTTGGATAGTTCTAATAAATCCCGATCTTCCACACAGAAAACAATAACGACGCACTTGTCCTGGGTCGTGCCTGTTCGCGTCTGCCCCAAAGCTTTCACTTCAGGTGTTCGGGATCCACTGGGACCGGGAGAGAGACTGATGAAGGAAAAAACACATCGCGTGCCGTAGAATCCCAAAGTGGTTATTGTATGGTTCAAAAGTTCAACTATGACAGGTGGTGTTGCTGCTTGGAATCTTTTGTGCACTTGATTGATGTACAGTGTGTAAAATAGGTAAACCCATGTAAACCCCATATACTGAAACCAACCTCACATCTATGGCAATACACAACGACAATAAGAGTTGCCAATATATAGCAAAAGATAGCAAAACAAATTGTTCCTTTCTGCATCTTCGAGCGGCGACAAAATCCTCGCCCAGGGCAAGTTCGTGCGTAACCGGTGCTTCTCATGGCTTCTCAAGTTCAGGTCGGGATCCTGGTGCATGGACCTACATCTCTGTCCTTGGTATGTCAATTTGGGTTGTTTCGAGGAACACCTAGTCCTTGGGGCAAGCGGCGGACATTTCTGTAGTGTAGCATGTTTGGGACTTTGGAGAGAATTGGAGTAGCCAACCAACAGCTTCCCCCAAAGAAACGCAAAACACGAAATGGCGCAAAACTGCGCCAACATGGCATAACTCATTTTTTGAACACCCTTTTGTTACACTACTGACTGTGCAAAGTGACAGGCAAACTCATGAACAGCATGTTTTCAGAAAACAACTATATTATAGTCATAGTGACATAAATTAGTTGAGTTTCATAAAACGACGACACTCTTACATACCCTGGTGTCTTTGCTATAATATAATAAGATCTCCATCATTTAGCATCCACTCAGATTGTTCTTTTGGATCGACTACTCAACACCGTCGCCCAGCACCAACCCACCAACCCACTTTTGGTGCGGACCAATTTGCACGCTCACAAACACACCAAAACGCGAAGACCACCACTCCGCTCGCCACTCCCATCATCCGCGCAAGCGAAATCACACGCGTGACCGATCTGCACCTGAGACAGCTGCTGTTGAATGAGTGGTGCTCGTTCGGCCACCACCTGTCGTGCTCGCACCACCTGAGCGCCCCAGTCCACTTCGGACGCCTCGGCGCGGCCAGGATGAGTCGGATCATGTCACGCCCAGGATGAGTCGTTTAAAACCTAAACCATGGAAGGTTGATATCCTTTGTGAAGAGCCATCTGTTCATGTTTGGTGAACTGTTCCCCTTGGTCTGACCAGAGCGAACTGGTCGCTCCGGGACGGTGCCACAGCCACATCAAGCAACCTCTTGGGTCGGACGCCCCGGCGGAAAACACTGGACATGTTTTGCCGCATGAGAACCAAATCTCCTCGTTGTCCATACGTTTTCCCATCATGCGAACCCCAAAATACCCCAAAACATCATGCATTTGTCATGCACTTCGGAGTGGTTCTTGGGTGCAGCGTGATGTGATTTCTGGGGCTTTCTGGCGAAAAACCGGAGTGTGTAGATCATCCAAAGCGCCCAAATCCATCCTCCCAAGGGCGCTGGCACCTTTCTCTACCCGCGCAGATCGAGCCGTTGCTCTGGAAGCAGACATGGGGTCTGGTTGAGAAGATGATGTTCAGACATGTATGTTCTTTTCTGTTGTTGTGCTGTCTGTGGGCATTGCCCGCTATCAGAAATTCAGAAGTACAAGAAAAGGACACACATTCCGTGCACAATTGTTGATCTGAGCACTCTTTCCCATAAAGCAGGATAATATGTGTTTCTCAACCAGGTCAGTTGACGGACTGCAGATGGCTGGCCCATGCCTCTTGTAGGTTGGTGCTGCACCCCAGCAGCACATGGGAGGCAGCCAAACCGACCGCCGCTCAGCCCACGCTTGCCGCAGAGAGCTGCGACTGGAGGAGGTCCTCAACATCCACTCTCACCCTCAGCCGCTGCTGGAAACAAATCGAGATGGATGGCGACCCACGCGACGTGCCACAGCTGCATCACGCAGCATCGACGAGCCACGATGTGAAGAGGTGTCACAGAAAACATGATACAAGCAAAGCAAGGGCAACAAAAACAATATATACATATATATATATATATTACATAATACCAGCAGTCAGGATAGGGGTGCCGAACTTGGAGGATAGGGGTGCCCATTGTCCACTCACTGGATGGGACCAAAAACCATCCCTTTGTGACTGCTGGTATACGTTGCTATAGCAACATGTCGCCTATCGTGTGGAATGCCATCAAATCTCTCCGATGAAATTCTATCTCATGCATCTCTCCGACATATTTAATGCCTCAGAGCTGGTGACGATCACACTGCAGGACGAGCTCTTCTTCTTGGCATTGGACATCAACTTTGCCACAAAAGAATCTGCCATCTTCCATGTCAAATGCAAATTTGGCAAAAGCCCCACAGGTCGTGTTCAACTGGGTCTGCTTCACTGCCCTGGTGACTGCGAACCGCAGCACCAACAAAAACCCTCTCAAGCTCGACGTCCTGTCAAGGAGCCCACGGTTCCCAACGGTGCCGCCGAGCGAACCTCAAGACTGAAGACCACAGAAGCCCTTAGATCATGGTGTTTAGAGATCCAGCTGCGAAACAAAGGTACGACTGAACCGGACAAAGGCACCCAAATTCAACATCTCCAATCACCCTCTGGAAGGGTAGACACCATACATGTCCATATTGTTACATTCAACATCCACGCACACACCGGGCTAGATTGCCGGAGCTGCAAATCAAACAAATTAGACTTGACCATTGAACTCTTCCAGCCGGAAGAGCTTTCTTCCATGATACCCAGGGAGCACCTTCACACCTAAGCGAGATCGAATTAACGCATTGTAAGAGAACCCTTGGACTTGGTTAAATTGTTGAACATCCTTTAAGGATCTAAGGATCGGTCTTACTTTTCTATAGAATGCATTGTAAACACGTCAAAGACCTGAATAAGTACCTTCCAGATTCCGGTGACACCAAGAGATCACAGCACCCATGCCCGTGGAGGGTCGACACGCCCCCGTCCTGCCGTTTCCGCGCCGAATTCCATGCCTCGCCGTCCGTTTGCGCCGTGCGGACGGGAGCGCGTCCGTGGTGTTCGGACCCCAGTGGGTCCGGTGGGGCCGGCCCGGAGGACCGGAGGATGATCTAGGTCATGGTGATAGACCATTCTCAGACGAGTGACTGTGACTGCCGGAAATCTGGGACACACCGTTCCTAGATTTTTGTTGGTCTCCTTGGTGGGTGTAGGGCCTAGGATGGCACGGTTTCCCAACACATACATTGAAAGGGATTCTACTTTTCTATCTATTTGGAGGGGTCTATATATACAATGTCACTACAACTCTGTAGAACCAGGTTGTGTATTGAAATAGAGAGACCTCCCAGTTCAACGCCTGGAAGAAGGGAAATAACTAAACTACTAGTCTACCCATTGGTTGGGGTGCCTCCCTATTAAAAATACAACCACTGTAGACAAATGCCGTCGCCCACTCGTAGCTCTTTTTGCACGATGTGAGCACACGATCAAAGTGACCAAAGCGACGTTGGTCCCCAAAACACTTCATGGTATGACATGGACTGCCATGGTATGACATGTGTCTCTCCAAACAATCCCGGGTGACCTCTCATTCGGAAACAAGTCGAACAAAACAGGGTCACTTCAGGATTCTAGACCACTGCGAACAGAGGTGAGGCGCCAGAGGGGAGACACATATCACAGATCACAGGAAACTATGGGCTTTCTGAGAGGATTGTATACCTGCTGTCTTGAACTCAAAGAATACGAAGATCATACGAAGATATACAAAGCCCATCTGCAAGAGTGGATTTAGTTCCTTCCCGTAAACAAACTATCGCCCATGGCAGGACAGCAGCCGCACCATTTTCAAAAAAAAAACACGTGACACGATTGAACCTCCTATTGCACAACCCAACACGGCTTTAAGTATTCAAATAGGGAGACCCCCCAAAAAAGAGATGTTTTTTGGGGGCCAGGGGGGCCTTGGTCTTCCTATATCAAGATATATACACACGTCTGATCTGTTCCTTCCGGCTGCAACACCTGGGATCGCACTGCTGTGCGCCTTGCAGAATAGCCTGGAGCAAGGCGCCTTGGGTCGGTCCACCTGGTCGAAACGGCCGAGCGGAGGTCTCAAGACCTGTTGATCGCCGATTCCGATCCACACCCGGCTGCAATGGCAGGCTCTCAAGACATATTTAAACAAATCTAAGATGACACCCAAATACACCACAATTCAGATTTGAACGCTTGACCACGCCTGTGTGACCGATTTATGGGTCAATTCAGGGTCAAAGTCCACATCTTGTGCAGCTCACAATTTTTAACTTCGTTGGGGTTGGGTATTGTACAGCGTCTAGACCCTGGAGCCTCGTGATGTACAGCTCGAAGCACCTTTTAAGGAAGGTACTTGGACTCTCCCAACTCATCCCCAACACCTTCTCGGGCCGTAGAATGCACGTAGATGTATAGAGGAACCTCTTATAATATTTATATCTTGATGGTCCACAAAGATAGGTCCATGCACAAAGTCCGGACATCTTCTGCTTCACCGGTTTGGACGCACATTCCCGTTTGACCAATGTCCAGTTTGACCAATGTCCCGAATCGAATCAGACCGTGCCATGTGCCCTGCGTCAGTTCGCGTCTTCCCTTCACTCCTGGGGATTAGGCCACAGCATTGCACGAAGTGCTCCAGGAGATCCGGTTTAGAGCCGCCTGGTCAAAGGACCGATGAACTCGGTCAAGATCAAGGCTCGGGGCGCTCGCTCTATTTTTTCTGGGACACCGTGGATAGAACAAAGTGGTCTGTGTGTTTGTTTCGTTGCCTTGCTTTTGGTTGGTTTTCTTCTTTCTGATCTTCTAAGTTGTAGCATGTTGTAACCAATGGTTTAAGTAGCACCACGTATAGGTAAAGGAAGTTACCCTAGCACTTAGTGGTCCGTTTTGGACAGCAACCCTACCTGGTGGCAGTAAACTCACTTCTATGGAAGTACACCGCACATCACTGAACTTCGGTGGAACGGACAGCTGATACTTCAGTGCAACTGCGCTACACCAGGTGACCCCAACATACGCCGATTCCGCCCCGAAACCAACTTCGATCCGGGAGAGCGGGCATCGATCTACGAAAGAACAAGGACAACGAGGTCGGTGCAGCCTGAGACTAAGGACATAACACCCCGAGACTAAGGACAGCAACAAAAGCACCAGGAAGGAATTGCAACGACCATGGAGGTCTATTATAATCGATTACGCATATAAAATATGTTGACGACAACGTTGAGGACTGCATCCCCAATGACACGGTCTGCCTGCCACCAGAACGGGTGCTGCCTGGCCAGGGTGGCACCGTGGCCCAACAGACTAGTCTGCTAGCCGTCAGTGGCCCGACAAATGGAACGCATCAAGCTTCTTGGCCTTACTACTAGCAAGTAGCAAGAAGCTACTAGGCACAAGGGCACCGCTACTAGTAGCAAGAAGCTATTATTATGGACCCTTCTGAAGAAGATGGTTCTCCTTACGAAAAGAGTGCGGACTTCATGTGTATGATTTGCCAGCACTCACGTGGCGAGGGATATATAGTCTATATCTGATCTCCTAAATTCGCCTGGTGGTTGTTGATGGTAGCCTTCCAATATGGACGTGGTATACTCTAACTCTAGCTTGCTTGTCAGTGGATTGGGAATCACATTATCTTGGATAATTGCGTTGAGATGCACTCTTTTGTACACAAATCAGTATGTTGTATTTTCCGGTCACTCAAAACGACTACAGTTCTGAGAGACGAAGCCAGCACAGTATGCAGTATGGATACCAAAACGACAGTAACAACATGACAGTCAAACGACCCAAACGAGCTCACCAACCAATTTTCTATTTCAAGGTTCACTTTCTTCATCCTTCCAAACTCTGAAACCGTGTCAAGTTAAAGTCCTTGAACAAGCCGCAACCCCTTCCTGACGACATCGGCACGGCGCACGCACCCTCCTCTGTAGAGACCATACGTTCCAGAACCAGAACAAAAAACAACGGTTGACGGTTGGCAGTGCCGGCTGATAACCACCTACAAAGCCACTTGCCAGCATCTCGC